CTCTCCCTCTCGCCCTCTCTCTCTCTCTCTCTCTCTCTCTCTCTCTCTCTCTCCCCCTGTTTCTTTTTCTCTGTCCCTCTCTCTCTCTCTCTCTTATTCTTTCTCTTCCTTTCTCTTTCTTTCTCGCTCTTTCTTGCTCGCATGCTTCGCGAATGGACCGGCAATTCTGAGTATATAACACGTTATCATTCTAGGATCGCGCACTTGTCCGGTGGGAAAATACGGTGCGTCTCGTGAGATTCAACATGAGTACCAAACCTCGGTGAGATGAGAAAAGCTGATTCGGCAATTTAGAACAAAACGCGACATCCGTTTATTGTTAAATAATTTTGCGGTTACTGCTCGGATTGTTGGTAAAGATATCGATTCGAGATTCTCATCTTATTCGCAAATGTGAAATGTTCTTCGATGAACATCTTTGTAGCGAATTCATTTTATTGAAATGAAATACTCTTCGAACTGCTTGAGCAATAATTTAAGATCTCGTTATTCATTTATTAATTCCTAATGTTAAATAACTTGATAATTGTTTAAATATTTACGCAACAGAAGAATCGAGTTCAAATTCTTACTTTCTTTCTGCTTTTAAATTCCACGCGATAACTTGAAATTAAGATTACAGCTTTCTTATCTACATCCATTTTTTTGACACCTAACTTATCACGAGTGTTAATTATGTACGATGCTAATAACTTAACTCGATTAATAGTAAACTGGAACTTTTGAACTTGTATGGATGAAAAAGACTGAAATCGTCGGAGAGGATGATATTTCTATACAAAGTTCTAGTAAGTCAGAATGGTGCAGCCTCGGAAGAGAGGTACGCGATGCAAAGCAACGAAACGGAACAGCAGATCTTATAGCTCCGTTACAACCGGCTAGCTGACCGATCCCAACGAGTACGACCGGTGGTACCACACCCGCTCGAGTATTTCGAGCGGAATGATGGAGAGATAAGCGAGCTCGCTAACTCGCTCGTTCGCTCGCTCGCTCGCCCGTGAGACGCTCGCTGGTAACGAACCTCGGAGTCGCGCTCGTAGACGACGCGCCCTCGAGCCAGATGCCTGTTCTCGCACCGCGATTCGGCGCGACGACACGCGCCGGTCCGATATTTAGCTCGGCAGCCGCGGCAGGTGGTGATTTTCTGGCCGGCCGACCAGCGCGCGACCCAATAAACGAATCGTTCGCAGTTAAAAGCGCGCAATTTCACACACGGGACAGAGTTTTCGGAGAACGTGAGGGAAAAATGAGAGGTTTTTTCATTCACAGAAAAATGGAAACTTTCTCCCATAAAATTGAATTTTCATAAAGAATCAAGGAAAATATAAGAACCATTTTTTATTCACAAAAACGGATACTGTCTTTTTGAATCAATTTTTAGAAAAATAAGAGAAGCGTTGTATTTAGAAGTAACGTTTTTTTTTTTTTTTTTTCATGAAAATCAAAAGACATGTCAATTTATGATACATATTGCAAATGTTGCTTTTATCAGATCAATAGACACGAATGAGATTTTCAAAGAAAACAAGAGAATTTTATAGGTTTAAAAACAAATCTTTTCAAATCGACTATAAATGTCTTGTTGAATTTTTACATAATTTAAAAAAAATATCAATGATTTATTAAAACTCCTGATACATTTTGTGGTAAATAATGTTAATTATATTTGTAAAAGTATAAAAAAAAGAAAGAGAGCGTTTGAAAAGAGATATCGGATATTCTGGTTTTGATTCGACCAAGAAAAAGTGTTATATAATGTGTTATATAATGAATAGTATTCAATGAAGAATCCCAGTTGTGTATTATTAATTATAAAAAAAATGTTGCAGTTCTTCCAAATATAATAGTAGAGGAATATCGATGGACTATATTAAATATCTTGTTTTAGCAAACTGAAATTTGAACAAATTGTAATCTACGATATAAATGTACGCGTTATTATTTCAAGAGACAAATGATTATGTATTATACCTATAATAATGCAAATTACAAACAGAGGCGTTAATACACATTATGCATGTACCATGTTAAAAAAGGATCTACGATATGTTACGCGTTAAATTAAAGGAAAAAATATCTAATCGTACTAGCATAAAACTGACATTTCCGAGGAGAATTGATTTTCGGTATTGGCGATAGGACGGGCAATTTACTCGCTTCTGTTTATCATCGGTTTATCACATGCAGCGCATAAACAAAGGATTAGCTTGCTAGAATTTTCCTCGAGTGTCTATACAAGAGATATGTCCTAAATATTTCTCTGCGATAAATATCCTCTTAATCCTAAAATATCTTCTTATGTCTATACATATTACTTGGATACTACTCATTTTTAGATGAACCATCCCGACGAGGACATTCTGTTTAAATATATAATTTAAATCACGAATTTTAATCTCGTTCCCACGTTAGAGTGTATCAATCCTGCTTTAAATATTACATGTTGCTGGATGGGCACAGATGTTCCGCTTTGCGCATTCAGTTCAAGAAGTCCTATATGCGTATACGGAAATACATACCGTATATGTACAAGAAATCGATCTATCGACGGTCCGCGGTTCTTCAACCGTTTTAGTGCCTTGCTTTTCAAAGAGGTGAGCACGGCACGGTGGTGTCGACAAAAGCGACGATGTGTTACAGCGCGATCTTAATTACCGCGTTTGAGTGAACGCACAGCGGAGTGTGTGTACACATTTGATAGAATATACCGGAAGCAATTAGAACCGCCGTGAAAATGATCTTTATTCCCGTGCGATAACTTTGGCGGAAATAATGAACTGACAACCTGGGAATGCACTAAGGAGTAAACGAATCGCCGGTAAATCTTTTGTAAAGGTCGGTCTGAGCCTGAATAAGAGGATACTGGCTTAATTCCAATGGAGAAGATGCAGGAAAGCACAATGAAATATAGATAAGCAAATAGATCCGCGCGCGCATGAATGATCGGTACATATGTATGTATAGTATATTGGTATAAGTGTGCGTATTACACATGTAATCTTTGCTGCTATCTCTCGACGCACTTTTCTAGAGCGATTATAGTTTTAGTACTTTTTCGTACGTTAACCTCTTAATAGAGCACGTACGAAAGTAACTTAATGAACTATGCACGAAGCACGGCGTAATTGATCTCCAGTGTACCAAACGTTGCGTGAAGTACTGTTGTGCGTGTTAGAAGTTACTTTCGTAATTGCACATGCAAAAGGTGAGAATAGCGGATATTTTTATGTATTATTACGATAATTACAATAAAAGCCACGATCTTAATAAACAAATTTTAGATCACGCACAAACGAATGCAAATTATTCTGTTTAATAATCCTCCGAATTTTTCTTTTTCATCCCGCGCGTTCGCGATTTAGCCAAGAGAGAAGATTATAAAATCGATATTCAAGTCGGCAAGTTATTGGCAGACAATAACTCATGAATAAAACATCGTTGTTCGAAATAAACGAAATAATGCGCGAAATGTGAATGTCAAGCGCGTTATGTCGCGTTCAAACTAGTCGCGGTTTTCGATGCTCGACGCTTGCCAGCGCGGTCACGTGAAAGTGAACCTCCCTTATTTGAGCCGCGTCGCTCTTTGCGTACCGTCCTTACTGTTTTTTTTCCGATTGCTGATATATTCATATGCAACATATGCGATTTCGATTGTAATCAAGACCAACACAAGCACCGAACGAGTGTAATTAAAAATAGAAATGTTGAAAAGGGGATATTGTAAAGTCTAAAAAATTATTAAAATATATCTAATAATATAATAACGCAAATATTTTCGATAAGATACATTCATAGATATCAATTTAAAAATGTTATACAATTTTATAGATATTTTCCAAAATCAATTTCATTTTCAAAGTCGCAATTGCGGAATAAGAGAAATAAATCCTTACTTCAATCCTTGCCGCGTTTCCATTGGTCTCCACGAACAAACGTGGAGATCATTTTAGCAGTCGTCGAATATTAAATTCCAAATTGGTTTGTCGGTACGAAGCTCCGTAAATTTTGGATGAGTGAACGTTGTGCGACTATGCCTTGTAGTGGATTTGTCATAAAGCGAGAAGATCGGCGAAGCCGTGACAACAGGCAGCGATGGTGACGGCGATGGTGGCGGCGGCGGCGGCGGCGGCGGCGACGGCGGCAGCGGCAGCGGCGGCGGTGACGGCGGCGAGCGGCGACGACGGCGGCGGCGGCATCGGCGGCATCGGCGCCGTGCGATCGGTGCGATCGTGTTTTAACAGCGTAGTCCGCCTTAGTAGCCCAGGCTCTCTGTCTGACGACTACGCGCGCGTATTTTGCGGCCGCGTCCGATGCTGGCCGACATCGGCCGAACAGGCAGCGGCCCCGCGGAGAAACCAAGTACCAACTACCAACATTACGAATACTATCAATAGTACCAACACAGCGGACGGCGCGGCGGCGGTGGCGGCGGCGGCGGCGGCTCCGTGTTCATGCGCGTACTTGCTCAGTGTGTGTGCGCGCGCGCGTATATCGGAGAGTGTACGTCGGTGTATAGTGTACGCGAGAGAGTCGGTGCGCCTCTCGGCCGTGGGCACAAATCGCGAGTAAAATGGAAGCGGAATTTCGCTGCGAGGTTGAGGTCCGTCGTTGAAAACAGGTGAACATGGGAAGGTCCAAGTTTCCCGGAAAGCCGCCGAAGACGGCCACCAGGAAACGGATCAAGGTGCTGGGCCAGCCTGAGGCAGCACAGAACGATCCGGTAACTGTCGCCGAAAACATCTACTACGGACTTTCCCTGTTCAACGAAACATTCGGCGACAACGAGAAGGTGAGGGGGAAAAAAAGTCGTCGCGCCGAGGCGTCCGTCGTCGCCATCGCCGTCGCTGTCGCCGTTGCCGTCGCCGTCGCCGTCGGCATCGGCGTCGGCGTCACCGTCACCGTCCACCGTTACCGTCGTTATCGTAGCCGCTACCACCGCCGTCGCCGTTGGCCGTCGAGGTCGCGCAAGATCGACGAGCGTCGCGTCGCGTCGTGTCGCGTCGCGTCTCGCACCGCATCGCGCGATGCACCACATCTCGCCGCCCGCGAACTTCTCTCTCACATATTGTCTGGCAAGCGTCACGAGGATACGCATTCGGTGGACTCGCGATACGCGGGCCGACGAGGGCTTTGGCGCGGCGTAGCGCGCGGGTTAACCTATCGGCGGTGACGACCGCGGTGATCGTCGAACGGCAGGTGCACGCGACACGTTCGCGTCCTTTAACTGCCGTTCAACGATTTGTTTCTCGCTTTAGCGTTGCCTCCCCTTCCGTATGTCGATCGAGCAATAGCGATTTGTATATTTTTTCTCCTGGCTGCTTTTGGTACGGAGTAATCGAATATGTCAATGAGGCATGCCTTCTGCAATTCTTGCTCTGTAACTTGTTATCAGCCAGAAAGAATGTAGAATTGTCAAATTTTCATCGAATAAGTCTTTGTAGCAGGCAAGTTGTTGTGTAGAAAAAAAAAAAAACAAAGTTAGTTTATTAATCACTTGTTTGGCTTGACGATTAGTTTGTTTACTGTACACTTAGGTACGTTAATTTATATACTGTAAGTAATAGATTATAATTGTTGAAAAGTTTGTTATTTCTATTACTCATACAGGCAATCTTTCCTTAGGAACATCCACCATTTCACGGATTTAGCACTAAAGAGGCTAATCTTTCTGCATCTTATATAAAAACACAGCAACACGATGCAGAAAAGACCAGCGATAAATTGCCGTCTGTCACAGTCGAAAATCTTGCACCACAGTCCAGCACAAAGAAAGATGTTATTGATATTAAAAATACTACAGACATCGAAAACAGCACAGAGAAGCTTACCGACTCAAATCCAAAACCAGTCAAAGACATCACCCAGTTACAACCAGTTACAAATCCGAATACTAAACATACTCCAAAGATTCACAGAGCTAAAAATCGTAAGAATTGTAAGAACATTAAATTTTCGAATTATTTGAAAAACCCAGTGTTAAAATCAGTGAACAACATCTTGGATCAGCATCAAAGAACCAGGCAATTGCGGAACAGTACTGCAAAAAGATTGCTTCAAAGGGCGAAATCTAATGGAAGTAATACACGTAATTTGGTGGTGCAATCTGCAGAGAAGCCTAGCACAGTGAGAAAATTCATTTTACCCGTTCGCAGTGTGCATTCGTCGAGAGTTATAAAACCAAATAAGAGGTTTATAGAGGAATTGGAAGAAATTTCTGGTACGGAGCATAGCGAGAATGAAATTGGTGTCCACGTCAAAAGAACCAAATTAAATCCGGATAAGCTTAGCAACTTGGAATCAAAATTGAAAGGCGATACAGTTAGTAAGTTGTGTACAAAATTTAAAAATAAAGATGCAAGAAGCAAGCCGAAAAGGGTGATTCAGGGTGTAGACTCCAATGCCGAGATTGTAATTCAACCAGTAAAAAATGTGGAGAAATCAGTGAATTCTGTACAAAACGCACAAATATCAAAACCAACTCATAGAGAAGTAAAGAAATCTCATACTAGTTCGTGTAAGAATAAAATATCAAACAGCACATCCGACAATTCTAATAATAATAATCATCAAGAATGCTCACAAAACTCGAGCAGGACGGCACAAACTGTGAAATCAACAATTCCCAGAAATCAGAAACAGATTTCTATTCCTACAAAAGTTCTTCCCGATTCCAATGTTCCACACTTCGAGTCTTCCAGAGTTCAGACGAGATCAGGAACTCAATATGAAATAGCGAGCGATTTAAGTAATCAGGCGAGCTTTGAAAGTGGTGCAGGATTAACAGACGGTGGCTGTACCGAAACAGAGGATCAGCTTAGAAATGATAATAAGACTGTGGTTAATACATTGAACAATTTTGAGACGGAAAACAATTTATCTGAAAGCGAAAGCGAGCACAGCAGTCACTCAGAAGACGAACAATCAGATTTCAGCGGAATGAAACTCAACGGTGGGAAGGTTATTTTAAGAAAAGCAAGATTAAAGTTGGATAATAAATGTTTAGCTGGAACGGAAGGTCCGTTTTCAACGACTAACACCAGCAACGCTATGGGAGGAAATACTAATTTAGGTATACATTTCACATTTTTGCATAGTAATTTTGGAACTGTATTTGTTGCACTTTTATACCTTTAACATATTAAACTATTCCTAACAATGATTATTTATTATTTCAGGATTAACAGGAACTATAAAATGTGGTGTTTGCGGCGCAGTGCGATTTTATCGATTCGTGAAACAGGCGCGCAAGTTTGGTATTCACAGTTGCGAATCTTGCCGAAAGTTTATAAGCAAAATGATCAAACGTCAGGCTTGCGCTAAATCCTCAAACAATGTTCTTCCCGTTCTCCAATGTCATAAAGGCGACGGTCTGTGTTTAGTTCCGCCCGTTGTGAGGAGTCAACAATGGAATCTCATGAGATGCGTTTATAAAGCCAGATGCCCGGCGTGTTGGTTGAAAATGTGTTTGAAATGTTACAACATTCCACCTGCTTTGAGGACAGGTTTAAACGCGTTGTTACCACCATTAATGAGAGATCCTTTAAGTATTTCTCTACCGCTTGGTCAAGACGAGGACAATGGTCAAGGCCAAAAGTTGAGCTCGTCCAAACTCAGTTGGCCCGCGGAAGACAGTTCGGAAAGAAATTTATTTAAATCTGCCATGAGTTGGAAAAATTTCGAAATGGGACAGAAGATGAGTTATCAGGGTACTGGAGGCTTTCTTTATACAAAAATAGATAAATGTAAGACAACTTATTTTATAACTTTTTTTTTTTTTTTGGAGATTGCATTATTGTTTATTTGTACTTATGACATGATTTTATTGCAGTTGATTCTTCGATGAGTATATCGCCTAATAAAAAACGAAGGAAAAATAACAGGATTAAAGTAAGAAAGAAAATTAAAAGTCCAGTGCTCGCTTCTTCGTCCGGTAGCCAACATTCACAACCTCTCAGACAAAGACTCGAGTTGAAAGGACCGAGAGTTAAGCATGTTTGTCGAAGTGCCAGTGTTGCGCTTGGACAACCGATTGCAACTTTTCCCACTGCAGACGCAAAAGAAGACAACGAACACGGCAAAAACATTCCAAAGATAGTGAAGGAAATTGAGAGAGTGGAGAAGAGGGATGATATTATAAAAGAGAAAGAAATACAGAAGCATAATGAAGATAATAATTTAAATCTTAGCGTTAACACGGCACAACAATCTCACTCGAGAAGAGGAAAACCGCAACAGAATGTGTCAACGTTACATTTTCCAGCGGTAAGATATCTAAGATATCTTTTAGGCATAATTTTTTGATGGAAGTGACTTAAGCGTATGTTGCATACATTCTGCTAATAGCATGCTAGATGAGTTTGTTATTCCATTTTTTTATGTGACGTAACTGATAAATTGTTCTTTTTTTTGTCGTATACTTGTGAGTTGATATTTTTTTATTTGATTAAATATAGAATTTATTATACAAACTTGAGCTCAGTTTAGAGGTTAGAAAGCGATGTAAATAATATTATTAATTTATCGTAGGTATCTAAGACAGCTATGGATACTGTATATACAGTTTCCATAGATTTCTGGGAGCAATACGATCCTTCTGAGGTTGGAGCAAAGGGTTTCGCTCTTATAGGTTCCGAGCTATTTCATATACCTGCAATTTGTTATCTGTGCGGAAGCGCTGGTAAAGAGCCGGTAAGTGACATTATATATATATATAAAGTATCGATCATAGGTGGATAACAAGTGGACATGTTAATAGCAACACGCCTCCTCTTCGAGACCTGTGTCAACATAACGATCCTTCTTTACAGCTGATCCACTGTCAATGCTGTTGCGAGCCATACCATGCCTTCTGTTTGGAACCCAGTGAATGGAACGCTTGTGCACAACCGAATTGGTGTTGTCCCCGATGTACGATATGTCAATCCTGCCATCTCAGATCCGGTCCGAAATTATCCTGCATTCGTTGTCGTCAGTCGTTTCATCATTCATGTTTGTCAAAGTCCGGCGTTAGCTCCAGATTGTACAGTCCCGATCGACCTTATGTTTGTCAGAGCTGTATTAAATGTAAAAGCTGTGGTAGCGAGGGCGTTAACGTTCACGTTGGTAACTTACCTCTTTGCTCCATGTGCTTTAAGCTAAGGCAGCAAGGAAACTATTGTCCTTTGTGTCAAAGGTGTTACAACGAAAACGATTTCGACACAAAGGTGAGTATGTACGTGTAATCTCGAATAATGTAGAGTAAATTTACGAAATCGCAAAATTTATCTTGTATTTGGAAATTACATTTTATGATCGCATACGTTTCTTTAGATGATGGAGTGCAGTGAGTGTTCCTGCTGGGTACATGCCCGTTGTGAAGGCCTTTCCGATGAGCGTTACCAGATACTTAGTTACCTGCCCGATTCGATTGAATTCACATGTAGCCAATGTTCTTCCAATTCGAATCCTTCTGTCTGGAGGAATGCCATAGAAGCGGAGCTGAAGGCGGGTTTCATCGGCGTGATAAAATCCTTGAGTAAAAACCGCAAGGTTTGCACGGCTCTCAAGTGGAGTCCCAGAAAGGAGTGCCTTTGCAGGCCAGTTTCGAGCGTGAGAAAACTTGAGTTTCCCGAAGACAAGAGCGAGACAAACTTATGTGCGAAGGAAAACGAAGAATCGGAAGAGTGCAATGGTGACAAGTTCGTGGATATCGATTCGAGTTCGGGTGCCAATAAGCCTGATTTGGAAGAACATTCAATGGACGGTCCTGCCAGAAAAGGTTTGCGACGATTACGCCAAAAATTCCATCTAAGAGAATGCTCGGTTAGAGTGAAAAATTGTATTCCGAAGGACTCTCAGGACAATGAGAGAAAAGACTGCACAAATCAAGACTCGTTGGTTGCTTCGAACGATGTCACGGAATGCCACTGTTCCGAGCAACAAATCATCGTGAGGCCTTCACCCACTCTAATGTCTGTGAAACGTAAGGTGAACGGTAATGAGTACAAATCTCTATCGCAATTTCATTGTGATATGGAGCACGTAATCAACCGTGTCGGTTCAAAGGATTTGATAGAAACGTATCACAACATTTTACAAGAGGTTTTTCCATGGTTTAATCCGAAAAATTTCAAGAGCAGCGACGACAATGACGACGCATTAACGCCTACTAAAGACGTTGACAAAGACATCGCTCTGACGACAAAGTTTGATGATCCTATTTTGGAGGCATGGAAGGAAGAGGTGATGAAAGCGCCGAAAGCTATCGCGGCAAAAACGGCGAATCTGTACAACATTCATGTTGAGGACAGCAGATCGTGTTGTTTATGCAAGGGCTTGGGCGATGGACACGAGACAAAAGAGGGTAGGCTGTTGTATTGCGGACAGAATGAGTGGGTACACGCGAATTGCGCGTTATGGTCAAATGAGGTGTTCGAGGAAATCGATGGCTCATTGCAGAACGTTCACAGTGCCATTTCGAGGGGTCGTTTGATTCGCTGTTCCGAGTGCGGCAAGAAGGGCGCGAGCATCGGATGTTGCGCGAAGAATTGCAGCAATACTTTTCATTTTCCATGCGCGAGGAACGTCGGGCTTGCTTTTAATGACGACAAAACTGTATTTTGCGTCTCGCATTCGAATAGTCAGGCCTACAAGTCTCTGCAGAATGAGAACGAGTTCAGTTTGAAGCGACCGGTGTATGTAGAATTGGATCGTAAGAAAAAGAAGTTCGCTGAACCCAACAAAGTCAAGCTAATGATAGGTTCTTTGATGGTCGACTGTCTAGGCACCATCATTCCGGAATTCTCTGACACGACTGAGAAAATAATACCATGCGATTACAAATGTTCTAGACTTTATTGGTCCACAGTGAATCCTTACAAAATCGTGAGATATTACATTAGGACTTATGTACAGGTGCATATGCCGGACGTCTCGTCCGACATGGAGAATAATATTACCATTGACCACAGCAAGGAGCAGGAAAAGGAAGAAATATCGACGGATGCGCAAAGAGTTGACTATTTGGTTGTCAAACAGACTCTAGATACGCTCGTCGATATCGTGTGTAACAAAGAGGTCGATGAGAATTTAGCGGAACAGAACAACACGGATCTTTTACCGCCGGAACTGAAGGAGGCTATATTTGAGGATTTGCCGCACGATTTGTTAGATGGAATCTCCATGCAGGACATTTTTCCGAAGATGTCGTACGAGGATTTTTTAGCCATGGATTTAAAGAACGATGGCTCTTTCAACACGGATTTATTTAAGGATGATATGTTGTCGTCAGAAGTCGAAGAAACGATAAAGCCGTCGGAAAGCAAGATCTCCAAAATAGATTCATCTCTGCTGGAATTGGGGACGCACAACGATCTCTGGGTGCGGTTGGAAGCGAAAACCGCGATGCAGGACCTCATGGACGACCTATTTAATTCAAAGAGCCAGAAACGCGGTGGCAGGGAACTGAAACGATCTAAATCCGAGGTGATGTCGAACAATCCGCTGATCGTCGGCGGTCAGAGGCATCATCAGCGCTCCTATAGCCTCACCTGGAGCTGCAAGCTAGACAACACCTATGGTTCTAACATAAAAAGGCGGAAGTTGCCACGAAATCCATCCAGTACCAAGTCCAGCGAAACCGGTCTTATTGTTCTTGATGCTCAAAACGAACGCACGTCCATGTTTCATGAATTGAGAATCCCGGAGAGTATCATGGTCACTGTAGGAAGAGGAAACACGCCTAACATACTATCCGACTCGGTGCGCGAGTTGAAGTACTGCATCGAGGATTCTGCTGGGCTGAATCGTCGCGTGTTACCAGCCAGAGACGACGCGAAGGAGCACAAGAGGCTGTTTTGGCATCCGAGACAGCAGCAACCGCGAATAGTGCAGGTCGATGGGACAGTTGATGCTAATAGTGCCAGCGAGTGCAGTTCACCGGAGTACAACACCGAGGAAAAAGGCACGAATCTGCAAACGTCCGAATCATTATCGATCCCTCAATTGGACGGCATCAATGACGAGCATTCGTCTGACGCGGGCGAGCCGAACGCGGAGATGGAACTTGGCTTATACGCGCGGCCGTCGAATCTTTTACATTCAAAGCGTATCTTTAGCTTCATTAGATCGCATATGTCAAGTAACTGTGACAAATTGCGTAAAACGAGGAGTGGCAATGGCAATTTTATAACCGCACCAACCGTTAAGTGCACCTTGCATAAGACGGCGGAAGTCATGTTCAAGGAAAAGAATCTCAAGGTAAATCTGCAAATCCCGCAAGTAGACGGTGCAGGTGATATCTCGAGCGACGACGAGTGCGTCTCGTCCCAACACATGATGACGCATGAGAGGCTGCTTCATACATCGTACGAATCATCGCCGTTCGAGGACATCGATGTCACCTGCAAGAGATGTGGCCTCACGTACAGGAACGAGGAAAGTTACAACCGTCATCTGGACAATTGCGATACTATGATTACTAGCGATAGCGACTCGGAGACCATGGACAACAAGCTGGCGTCGCCAGAGTCGGGGTTTTCGCCGAACATGGGTTCGGTATCGTCGCAATTCATCACTCTTTCGCCGTCCGAGGGCCACACTTTAACAACCGATTACACGGATATTCAGGCGACGTCACCTATTGAGGCATCCGTGGCATCACCGCATCCGAGTATCCAGATTGAACCGATCGCTCAGGCGATTATAACGCCGCAGATCCACGCAACACATGCCACTGTCGAGACTGTACACCAGACAGTATTAACGTCCAACGATGTGATCGTACAGACTCAATACACCCGTAGGACCACCACCCTGCCGAATCCAACAGTATTACCTCCTCAGGAAAGCACAGTGCAAATAACGGAGATTACAGACCCGTCCGCCGTCTCCAGTGATTCTAACGTTACGGCACACGGTATCGTCAACAGGCCGTTAAACTCGCCGGATAGCACGAGCTCGCAGACCGTCCCAAGCCCAGAGATGTCACCCAATTTTTCGTCCATGGGCGTGCAGACCGCGCACGAGTCCGTGCAGACAAACGCACAGATCGCACGACCCTCTTCCAAATCGAAGAATTTACGGATAGCCAAGCCTAAGACTAAGAATGTTAAATCGCAGCAGCACGTTTTGAAGAACGTATTGCAGACGCCGCAAAATACCGCGCATAATGTCAGATTTCAACCGACGGCGATGTCAAACGGTCCACCGGTAATTCAACTACATCAGACCGCTCAGAGACCACCCACAGTGATCCTTCAGCAAGTGGCGTCGCCGGGCATCGTGTCTGCTTACGTGGAGGCATTACAGCAGCAATCCGGCCAAAACTTGCAATACATAACAACGATAGGTGACGGGCAGCACGAGGCTGCTTTCAAACCGCAGCTGATCGCCGCAAATCCTTTGGTACCAGGCACCTATATACAGGCACCATCCACCGACAATCTGCTGGCATTGCAAAATGGTGGTATATCGATATTGCCGAGCGTGCAGATCGCGCAGACACAGCCTACTGTATTAGGCACCATCATACAACAACAGCCCAATGCGATCCAATGTGGCGTCATATCGTCGGAGCAGCTGCTACTGAGCTCCACGCCCACCCTAGAAATGTTCACCGATCCAACCGGCGGTATGTTTGTATCGAATCAACCGATGTACTACGGTCTGGAGACAATCGTCAGCAACACGGTGATGTCGTCTAGCCAATTCATGACGGGCACCGTGCCACAGGTATTGGCCAGCAGCTACCAAACGACAACACAAGTTTTCCAAGCGTCTAAGCTGATGGAGCCTATCGTAGATGTGCAGACTGTGCCGGGCGTACCTACTGTAACAACGATGCAGAATGTATCGAGTATGCCGAACATATCTGGTGTGCCCAACATAGCTGGCGTACCTAACATGGCGAGTATGCAGAGCGTAAGTGGTATGCCCAACATGCCCGGAGTGCCTTACGTGGTGGTGAACCAATCGGCGCCGTCGCTACCACCGCCAGTACCAACAGCAGCTCCGGCACCGCCACCAGTATCGGCATTGGCAGCGGCATCGATGCCAGCACCAGCAGCAATATCAGCACCAGTATCAATATCAGCATCAACGTTATCAGTGGAACCGATTGCGACGCCGCCGCAAATCAACATTTCTGCCACATCTCAGGAGCGAGCTTACGGTGGCATCGCGTGCAACGTTGTGACACCGGTACCATGTCAAAATACGACCATAGAGCATCCGATGGCATCAATTCAGGTGGCGGACGTGTGCTCGTCGGCAAGCGTAATGACATCGACGAAGCTATCACCACCGGCGCTACCGCCACCGCCGCCGCCGCCGCTGCCTCCACCGCCGCCTCCACCGCCACCGCCGCCATCGTTACCTCCGCCATCGCCAGTCCTGCCGGCACTGCCACCTCATGCAATGCCGACGATACCCCGCGTCGCTGTGAGACCCAGTCCAGTTACGCATTCGGTCCAGGCGAATCACGGAGCCACTTGGAAGTTCACCGAGCCGTTATTTGGCGCGGAGCAGCCAATGAGCAACAGTGTACGACCGTACTTCGATTCGAAACATGTATCGGAGAACACTAGCATGATCAAGTCCAGCATATCATCATCTAAGATACCGCCTCTATCGAATCATTATGTTGCGCAAAGGAGTAGTCTGGTTGTAAATCATAAGTTGAATCATGATGTAAATAGCGTACATAAGAGTTATAGCGGTGGTACCGCGTTGAATCCGAACTCTATGAACGCAGGCGTCAACAGTAACGGCCAAATCGTTGTCTCCAACTCCAACCCCGTGCAGAACAAAATCACAATGCCAACGAGCAACATGCCGACAAGTCGACCGATGAATAGGGTGCTGCCGATGCAGGCGGTGACACTCAAGGATCCGGTGAAGAAAGACGACTTGGTGATCGAAGAGCCGACGAAACCGGTGATCAAACCAGCCGAACCGGAAATTGTAGAGTCAAAGAGGGAAATTACCGAGCAGATCGTGCAAATAAAAAAACCTGAGACCGCACTCAACAATATTAGCGACAATATCAAGCTGAATACAGAGACTATAGAAAAGGTAAAGGAGAATCTCAAACTGGAGCTTGATAAGGAGAAGCTGCAAAACGCCTCGTTGAAGATAGTACTGCAGAAACAGTTACAGGATGGTTCTTACAAAATTACGCGCAACATGAAGGCGGTCACGCAGAGCAAAAAGACACCTCAAGTAACATCTGTGGAGATATTGCCGTCAAAGCAGGTGCCTCAGATCGCGTCGTTACAACTGCTGCCGATCAAAACGTTCACGCTCAAGGCGAATAAGCTCGAGGAGAAGGTGAAACCCATTGACGCGAAGGTGAACATACTCAAGGCAAAAGCACCGCCCGTAGCTGTGAAGAAACCCAGAATAGTAACGAAATCGATCAGACCGCTGCGAAACAATCCGCAGCAGAATCCGCAGCCTGCACAAGTGCAGAAAAACTGCTCGAAGGGACCGATCCTGATGTATGAGATCAAGTCGCAAGATGGCTTCACCCACACTGCCTCGTCTATGACCGAGGTCTGGGAAACGGTGTACCAGGCAGTACAGAATGCGCGCAAGGCCCATAACCTGTCTCCTTTGCCTCACAATCCCTTGTCTGAAGGTTTGGGCTTGGAGAACAATGCGGCTATCTATTTGATCGAGCAATTGCCGGGCGTTAACAGATGCAGCAAGTACAAGCCCAAATTCCATACGTTGACGCCGCCGAAACCCGACGAGATGGAGAATGAGTTGCCGGCGGCGTGCGCTAATGGAGCGGCACGAGCAGAGCCTTTCAAGGGCAGGAAAGTGCACGACATGTTCAGCTGGTTGGCATCGCAGCACAGGCCGCATCCTAATATAATTGCAATTTCGGAAACAGAGTCTAGGTAACAAACTCTCACAGTACTCATGTGACGTAAAGACAAACTTGCATGCTATTTTATAATTATTTCTCATAAATTAATTCATATATAGTTTTCTAATATATTTGATTATCAATGAATTTTTGATGTTTTTATTTTAATGATTTTGTGTGTGCACCGGTGTGATGCATTTGCATTTTTTATATTAACAGTCGCACATCACTCCTTTTGCTACACGTTATGATACGTAGAACATAAATTTTACTTTTCTGAAGGATATAAATAGAATCTGTAATATTAAAAATAAATGTCATTATTAATAATTTGTTTATTCAATAGAATATTTGATGAATTCTGTTACAGGCGAGCCGCGAGTACCAATTTGCCCATGGCAATGCGCTTTAGAATACTTAAAGAAACATCAAAAGCATCCGTCGGTGTGTATTATTCCCATATACATGGTAGAGGACTGTTTTGTTTGAGAGATATCGAACCTGGTGAAATGGTTATTGAATATGCCGGTGAAGTAAGTAGTAAACTATTTAAATTCAAATATAAGAAGATCATGTCGTGTATACTTGTAATCGGTATCGCACACACTATATTATTATTACTATTAAAATTATTGCTTATCTCCTTATTAGGTTATTCGATCTTCCTTGACTGACAAAAGAGAAAAGTACTATGACAGTAAGAACATAGGCTGCTACATGTTTAAAATCGATGATCATCTAGTTGTAGATGCTACTATGAAAGGGAATGCAGCTAGATTTATCAATCATTCGTGCGAGGTACGAGAGATTTCTTTTTTTACTTTTAAAAGAATTTTTATCTAAATTACCCAATTAAAAGTTGAACAAAAACTTTTAGTATTTAATTTGCATTGTTATTTGTATTAATGTTTTTAAATGTATAAAAAGTACAATTATTTTAAATTGCATTATAATTTGATATATATATAATTTGTGAATACGTAATTATATTGAATTAATTGAATCAATGTGTTAATACGATTGTAATTATCACATACGATAGCGTTATACATGATACATTTAATAAATTCCTGCGATGCATTACATGAAAATATGTATGTTACAGCCAAATTGCTATTCGCGAGTGGTGGACATTCTAGGTAAGAAACACATACTGATTTTTGCTCTTCGTCGTATTATTCAAGGGGAGGAGTTGACATACGACTACAAATTCCCATTCGAGGATATCAAGATCCCGTGTACTTGTGGTTCTCGCAAATGTCGCAAATACCTCAACTGAGACTGCGTATATACAGCTTATCCTAAGCAGCCGACCGATGACAAAGAAATAAAATATGTGCTATAATTGCGCGCGCGCTTTCGAATAGGAATTCGTTTTATTGAATGTTATTCATTTTACTCATCATCAAACTATTTTCAGAGATTGCAGCTTTTTATTACTATAAAAGAACATAGATTATACATTTTAAATATTAGAAGGCCAGACGTAATACGCGAAGCACGGCGATTACGACGCGATATTACTTTAGCGACAGCTACGTTCCTGTAGTTGATTTAACGGGAGGGTATATTTACACATATACCTATAGCAATAAACCATTCGAGTATATCCTGCTTTCGTATCCGATAAAGTCGTGCGTTTTGTTAACGCGCTTCAGACTTTTGAAAGTGTTATTTTATTCACACGCCTGTGCTTTCTCGCACGACTTTTAGACTCTACTCTTATTATCTACTGTTGAGGCTTAAGTGTACAAGTTATCTTACACTTTACACTAAATGCGAGTGCTTCTCGAGTTCGCATAATTCTTGTACATCTTGCGTGATTATAGGTCTTTTGATGCTTTGATTGGCTTTGAAAATAAACTCTTCCCCTTCGAACGAGTATCGTAAGGATGAAAGAAAGGAAAACGGTGTCGAAATACGAGAAATGAGAAAGCAACGGCTTTTCGACGCGATGATCGTTGCTTTCCACACAGAAAGCCACTTATGTTTCTTTCGAGTCATAAGATAAAAATAACATAAGTATGGTGTACAAATGATCTTATCAAGTGCGTGAATATAAAATACGCAATAATTGTATATTTAAATGATTTGTATAAATTTTAAATTTAGTGTACAGTGTATGACTAACTTCGTGACATTTCATGTCTGCTGTAGGGCCAGATTTCAAATGTTTTTGTAAAATATGTAATTGTTAGACTAGATATATCGTCTTTGATGTAAGTACAGCAAACCAGTTTTAACTTAAGTTAGGAATGTAGGCATTAAGGAGAGAGATAGAGAATGGCAAGCGAGAACAGTCTCCTGTAGCAGGACATTGTTCGAAGGTATACCTACTTTGGCAGACATTGATACGATTTTGTGTTTTATTGTTTACGCAGCATCATTGATAAGAGGATATTCACTTTCCAGATTAAACTATCTGTTCATATGTGAAAATGAATAGCGCGAGTTTCGGTATTATTTGCCTTTTTTTCCTCTTTTTTTTTTTGTACATTTTTTAAAATATCGCATCTATATTTGTGCTTCCACCTTGCCAAGATTATATATATTCATCGAATTTATTATCCGAATTCTATTATCACGTCATCTGAATGATACGTGAGATACGATATTTTGTTTGACAAATATTGAATAGAAGCGCTAACGATTTTAATAATCCTTTTAAAAGAGTTTCTATCGAAAAATCAATTTGTTCATCCAGATCGACGAAGATTTATACAATTGTTTGAGATAAAACGTCTCTGGGTACGTTCCCGGCGAACGTTTGTGATATTTTCCCATAATGGGAAATATATTAGAGATGCTTTTATAGGAATATTTATATGTGTGTGTGTGTGTGTGTGTGTGTGTGTGTGTGTGTGTACACACACCACACACGCATACACACATACCATGTATTCCGTATCAATATATACCCTTCTGTGAAGTCCAGTTTTGCCTTACTTTTACATGTACCTACGCTTTCACCCAGTGATAGATTTAGATATATATTTACGCAAATGATATTTTATATTCGAAACTAACACAACTACAACGGCGTGGCACGGCGCCTTCCGATACAACTACAATGTATTTTAGCGCGATTAATCAATTTCTGCCGAGGTGGTAGTCCCTTAAATTTTGGTGCTCCATGGACACCGTTAAGTGCACTTTTCATGAAAAAATGGCCTAGAGTAAGAGATAGTAAGGTTGCAGTGCGGAAGTGTTTGATAATAATAAGAAATGTGTTATATGAAGAATATTGATCGTGAATTATTTAAAGAGGTAATATAAAGGAGTGAAATGGGGAGTGGCAGGAGCGCATTATTTGAGCACGCGAATAATGTCAAACGTGCTGCGATTTTAATCGGCCTGGTTTGGTACAAAGCGCGTATGCTGAGTTGTAAAAAGTTATAAAAACGAAGGAAAACCGAAACCTGTTCTGGTCACGTGAAATTGCCATTTTTTTAGATATTTTGTGAATCTTTTTTTTTTTTTTTTAATATTATAATTACCCATAATTAATGACTATTATATTCGAGGATGAATATTGTTAATATAATGATAATTAATTTTAATCTGTACATGAAAAGTAATACGACTAGTAAGGATGGTAACTTACTTGAAAATATAACAATGTTAGATATTTTATTGATATTTATTGATTATGAACGATATGGTATTAGGGTTGACGAAAAAGTACTAACGTAAACTGAACAATTTAGAACCGGTGCATATATATGATAGTCACATTGATTGATACGCGGATACAAGAATCAGATCCTTTTTCTTTTTTCTTTAGTAAAGCAAGCGTGTATCTTTAATTCGATTACAGTTTGATCGTTACGCTAGAATAATTTGGATGTCAGAATTTATTTTGGCTTTACAAGGTGTATACTCTGTAAGCATATATACTATGTAACCCGATTTACGTCGCTATATGATTGTATGTAAGCCATAGGCTATCCATTATTATCTGATTTCATTTCTACACTCGCGAATAGATTCGAATTCGCAATACATCGTTTTCTTTTCATTGCTTGTATCATCGACGATTTCTGTAAAGTACCCACGCGAGAATTTCAGCAAAGGAAGGTACGAAATAATTTGAGCGTGTGCTTGTAGCAGAACACGAAAAGCATGAGAGTGAGAGAGAGAGAGAGAGAGAGAGAGAGAGAGAGATTTTTACTTGTCTGCTAATAATCCTTGCCTGATGAATTCGGACGAATATCTATCAGGTGCTTTCTGGAACATACTCTGTGTCTTTTTAAACTACTCTTTAAACTGCGTGGAAAGGGTGTATGACCCTCCTTAGTATTACGCATTCAGCCTTCATTATTATTATTATTATTATCGCTATTAATTATAATCTATACACACAAAAAAAGGAGAAAGAGAGAAAGAGAAAGCATAATACATCACTACTCAAGTCACTCGTATATTTGGGCACATTAAGCACCGTTTGTTTACTACACCCATTAGCACCTTTCAAAAATAAAGCTGCGTGTAAAAAACCGATAAACATCTGATGAACGGTACGATGAATAAACTGTTTGTGTAGACTAACAATAATTAAAAAAAAATGATACTAATGTATAGATGTAATAGATAGAAGATAGTTTCTCTCCGACTTTTACGCATGTTTTACCTCTCGACAAACGGATTCGCTTCGAACGGCGATTCGAACGGACATCGCGTTTCAGCGTTGCATCTAAAATTGCGAGTGATTAAGTTATTTCGCGGAAATGATGATAACGCGCGGTGTATATTACCGCGTTTCGTCTCGACGGGACGCTGTTTCGGCGCATCGTCACGCTAATTGCTATCTCTCACAACCGGGAATTTCGTCTCATTGCGCTCTTTATGTTCTTTTTTTCTCGGAAAAAAAGAATACGCTGAGAAAATGAAAATATTACGATTTAAGGAATTAAAGGAGGAAAAGGGAGAAAAATTGAAATATAAAACGCTTCTTAAGATGTGTATAAAACTACTATTCTAACGTTTAAACAGAGTGTAGAATTTTGAAATATTGTACTTGTTTAAAAGAAAAGTAAGAGTGAAGATAAATACCAATTACTGACAAACTCGACGGTATGAAAGGGAAAAAGAAAAATTGAAAAAATTGTCTGTGATTATCAGTCATAATAATCTTTAGGTCGACATATTTTTTAGAGAATATTTTTTAGGAAATTACAAAATTTATGATATATCCCTATTATTGATATAATATTGGATCAGACACGCGCTATACGCATAATAATATTAAAAGTGAAATTGAGAAAAAAAAGAATGATAAACTGTAAAAGTTGCAAACTGTTTAAATAGAGTTACAAATAGTTGAGATTCGATGGCTGTTGTAAAATATTCAGTGTTTGGACAAATAATTATTAAAAAACTATTTATAACTAATATCGAAGTACGGTAATATTATATCGCATATTATTACAGTAGCGTTTTTATCCCTTCTTGCGTTTGCATATTTGCATGACGGATATAGGTTGTAGAAAAAGAGAATTTCGATAAATGAAGCCCAATCGAGGAAACTGACTCGCGATTAAATGAATGCGATTTAATTGAACTAACGAGAAACGAAGTTACGAAAAAAACGAACAAGTGTGGGGAGGGGGCGGGGGGCGAGGAGTGGACGACGACAACGGGAGGAGCAGGGGGCATTTGCCACACGTTTTTTGCGTGTAAATTGTCGTTATCAATCCATCTACTTATCGTAGAAAACTTATGAAGTTTAATCGTAATATCTACATTAACCAGAAAAGGTACCGCATAGAAAAAGAACACATAGTCGCTTTCATCACAACACACGTACTCATACACACACACACACATACACAAACACAAATATGCCCATGTTTTGTAATTAAATGTTTTGTTAGTATATATTATACGAGAAAATTAACAAAATAAAAAAAAACAAAAGTGGAAATATGAGAGAAACATGTGCGTGTTGTACTTATATTTTGCCATGTGCAATGTATTCCTCTCTTTTGTGTAAGAGTAATTTGTGTGTATCAGTGTGTATAGCAAAGGCATCGTGTATAGACGGCATGATTACAGACTGATACCTTTGAAATCGTCCGCAAATACCAAGTTCGTATAAATTAAAATCACATCAGAACCTGCACCAGGCGAAATGTTAATTCCTCTTTAATGTGTAGGTCTTCATTTAATTCTCAGAATTCAATGCAAATCAAGGAAAAACTTGTTGTTAGAGTCACTTGATTCTTAATTTATCATATTGAAGCTTCTTGGGATTTACGTCGTGATAAACCTTTTCGCTATGTGCGTTCTTTTGTAATATATGTATATGTATACATACATTACAGAGAATATACACATGTATCAGAATACATATTTATAAAATTATTTTACATACGTCTAATTTTGCTTAAATTGAAATTCTCGAAATTAAATTGTTAAAAAAGAGTATAATAGAATGCAGATTAAATAATTGTGTAATGAGAGAGGTCAGTGATCCGGAAGATTCCTGTATAACAAAAGTGAAGGATAGGAAGATAACGTTTTCTGTCGTTTATGTACGTATATTTGACACAAGGCTTCAAGATTGAACTTTTTGTGCGGCAATAAGACACGCAGCGAGTCTAATTAATAGTATAGAACCGCGGCGCTACATCGTCTCATAAAATTACGGAGCATGCGAAAATTCGTGTGTCGCCAGTCACTAAGGTAAGGCGAGTAACGCGGTTTCTTTCGCGTGCGAGACGCATGCACGCATTCTCTCGATCACTCTCTGCGATTATTGCGGCAACGTGCCTCAACAAAATCGCACATACGCACGCACATACGTAGTATTCAGGAGGAAACTCGCGGTCGCTAGCTAGTCCGTGTATCTCGTTAGTCTCAAATATCGTCGGGTCGTGCAATTAGTCGTGAGGCGCACAAGGCGGTCAATCTTATCTCGTTTTGTCTGGTTCTCACGAGCGAAAGGCGATGAGCAGCGGCGGCCGGCGCGGGCTGCGTTTCGATTGACAACGCGTTGGCGCGGCGTGGGCACCGTCTCGCGCGCGCGTTGTCAGTCGCACTTTTTACACGTGTGAGAATTTTTTTCGCCCACACGTTTGTACAATTACGTACACGCGTACGTGTTACGTGCGTGCGTACGTATATGTACGGTCAAGTCACGCGCGAACGGCCACGGCGATGCGTCACGGACGGTGCAACGCGCGGCGGCCGGCTGCACTTCTCTCCACGAGGAAATACATGGCGCGTCGTCGTCGTCGTCGTCGCCGCCGCCGCCGCCGTCACCGTCGCATGCATTTACGCGCGATGCGTTTACATTCGACGTGCGGCAACAAGTTGTGAGCTTACTCATCGAGTGACGAAATAAATGCGTATGATCAAACGCGGGACATCCCATCGGATGCGCGTTCCGTCGAATCCGACACGGTGCGTCGTGTACATAATCGTGTCAAAATCGTTGTCTGGAACGCTCTGTCGAAAGCAGTGTGGTTCGCACTTTTGTATAGTTTAATTTGTCTGTACGGCGGCGATGACTTTTAATTAATGTTAACGCCAAATATAGACGTTAAACTTATTCTGTTGAGAAAAACGGAGAGAAGATTCAATTAGATATATTTGGAAAGATTGTATGCACAAGATGACTGCAGAATACGTTCCTCAGGCGAATTACGCAAATTTTACAGCAAAAATATACGATAGTTTTTCGTAGAAAAATTATACGACTGTTTACAGTTTAGGTGATTATTTTCAATATCGTTGTACTATGAAAAGTATCATTTGTTATTTAACATTTTGACGACAAGACGCGTAATTTTCCCTTTTGTATACTGCATATAGACAACGTATTTGTTTAAACTTATGAAATAAAAAAATTAAATTTTGTAAAACTTTTCATTGTGACTTTTTCGAGAGTTTATTAACACAAAGTTTAAAATATAAAAATTATTTACCCGTTGCGGGTCAAAGTATCAGTCCTCGTGAAAGTGTTAACTTATTTAAATTATTTATGATTGCAATCTCGACGATATAATCTCGAATTAATTTTCTTCTGTACATTGTTAGACAACGCGCGTAAGTGCAGATGCAATTGTGCGTAGGTATTGTTTCGATCTTTTGGCAATGCGCGTGGCCGCACAGCATTTTGACGTGCGGCGGCGTACAGTGGAACGTTTTGCATTTGTTTACACGCAAATTACTTGCTTTGCTTACACTGCTTGCCGCGCGGTCGACATAACTCACCGTGACGGATTCAATGGAACGCCCGTTAAAACAAATGTAATTTTGATATGCCGCGTTCGGCCGGCGGGATGTTCTGCATTCAGGCGTTATTTATCCTAAAGATCGTATGCACGTTTTACATATCCCGACGTGAAGTATAAGATCAGAAATAGTCGAACACACATAAGCGCGCCTGCACGCACAAAGAGAATAAAAGGAGAATTATATTTGATCGAGAGGAATTTAAAATATAAATCTTAAATATAAATATTCGATGTACAAATCTTAGAAAAACAAAAGAACAATCATTATATGTATTACACAAATTTTTAAAGAATTGACATTTTTAATTACCAAGCAGATCGTCGCGATTTAAAACCTAAACGAATCGAGATCTACATTGAAATTTCTCCTTTCATGTTTCAAGCTGCGATCTATATAGATTCATCCCCGAAGCAGGGATGATCAAGAAGAACAGGTAAGGATAAGAATCATCCCATACAATCATATCTCTGCGTGGGGGATGGCAGTCGTTCAATCGAGCTTTCAAAGTCATACACGCACGAGCTCTATTTTAAATTCTTTCATCATTATCTTAAATTAAATCCACACGCAACCTGGTCCGTTTATAAATCACTAGATTCATAGATCCGCGGATTCTCGCTACGCCTGTATCTTCCTCCGCTTGCATTCCTCTACAATCTCTCTTCCCTACCTCGACTCTATCTTTTATTGGTTCTGGCAACCGGCAATTGGAACCGTCCAAATTACGCGACAACTTATGCGCCAAGGAACGTTCGCGCGCGCATGCGGGTGCAATATAGGTACATTTGCGTAAGTCTTTCTCGCTTTTGCTATGCGATCCTAGCTCGTTCTTACGTCATGATTGTTCTCTTCGCGCTCCGCGCGCAAGTAATCTTGCTCGAAAGCGCGACCGCGCGTTGCGTTGGTAAACGCATGTGTGCGCCCGTACGCGCGCGCGCGTACACATGCATTCGTTTCCGCGGAACAGTGAATAACCTCTCCTGGCAGTTCGTTCTCGCATCGCGCGCGCGTGCGTACATATACATTAAATGAGCGCTTGGGAAATGGGAATTAGACTGCTATTCCTCCCCCTCGCGGCTATGCTGCTGTTCCCACCTCGCCCTTCCGTCGCGACTCGCGGGTCGCCTTCCACCGCCCCCGCCCGCCGTCGCGCCCCGCTGCGCGTTTTCTCCGGCGATTTCAAGAAAGCTATACAGCTCCTTTCGGCCCGCGTAGTCCTCCCCGCTCCCGTCCTCCCGTCCACCCGTCATTCCTCCTCCCCGAAGCCCGACTCCGCTTGATGCGACGCGACTTGTAGTCGGAGTACTTGGACTCTATCGTCGCG